TTATAACACGAAATCAGACAGCAACAAAACCCTCAGGTTTTTGTTCTTGTTGTTCCTCAAATGCTTGGATTTGACCTTGGAGGTCTGTTCCAACCCAAAGGATTCTATGGAAACATTTGGCAGGAGTCCTGCACAGCCACAGCCCCCACAGCTGACCCCCACCAGCCCTGCAAGCTGCTTCCCTGGCCACTCCAGGTCAAACTGACCCTTTCCAAGAGACCCCAGCGACTTCCCTGGCAAGCACAGGAGTGAAAACGCCAGCTGGAATCCAGGGCAGCTCCAGAGCAAGGAAACCACCATGCTGTTCACCACCTGGCTGGGCACAGAGCCACCACTCCCATTCAGAGGGATGGGAACTGGGGAGCCCTCGGTGGGCACGGAGACACCGCTTGTCACAAGCACGTGTGGAATATTGAGCAGGGATGGTCTGGGGGGGTCACTGAATTTTGGGAGTGCTGACTGTGTGAGGGGGATTTACAGGCACTTTCCCAGCTCCCTGGAGCCCCAGCCAGTTGGGGAGAGACAGGACATGCTGAGAAGGAGGAAGGAGAAAACAGGGAGAAAACAAAGGAGCAGAGACTTTTTCAAATGAGAAGTCCCTGGACTGGGGAAACAATTCCTGGTGCCACTGGAGGTGGGAGGGGAGGAAGGAAAAATGCCTGATTTAAAGTGTTGTTAACACACTAAACGAGCTGCTGAGCCCCACAGCCTGTCCTGGGGGTGGCTCCAAGCAGGATCCTGCATGGATACTGTCTATTCCTTGGGAGTCCTCATTGTCACTGATTGAATCAAGCAAACGAGGGATCCTGTGGGAGAGGGGGAGGATGGACTGTCTGTCCATCCCTGGCTGCAGCAGAAACCTCAGTTCCTCCATGGCTCCATTCCCTGCCTGCCCTGGCCCAGGGCACGGATTCTCCACACCTCCAGCTCTTCATACTCAGCTGGACAAAACACCCACACCCAAACACCTCTGAGAGGTGATTTTCCATGGAGAAAGTGTCAGAAAAGGAGTACTGTTTTACTGACAATCTGGAAGGAAAACAACACAACCCCAACCCTCCTGATTTGAGCATCAAACGGACACAGTTTGCTCCCCAACAGACGCTTCTGATGCCCAAACCCAGTGCTACCCAAACACGAGGGTGGCAAACCCCACGTGCCACTTGGTGGGCAGGGACACCCCCCAGACTGCAACTTCCAGCCTGCCCTGCCCAGCAGAGAGGGACCACCCACTCCACAGGGCTGGTCCCGGCCCAGAGGGAATCAGAGGGCCCCTCCCTGACACAGGAGGGGAGAACCCCCCCAGTCCCGCTGGGATCCCCCAGCGGCCCCACCTGGCACCTCCCCAGTTCCCAGGAAACACTCACCAGCACCTCGAAGAGGAGGGACAGTAATTTGCTGTTGGCCATGAAGGTGCTGTCCAGGACACCAAGGTTGAACCAGCTCCCCAGGCACCGGAAGATTTTGATGAGCATCTTCTCCTCGTTTCCTGCCTTCTCCACACACGTCACCTGTGGGGGCAGAACCCTTCAGGATCCCACTGCAGCGGGTGATCCACAGCAAAAAACCAGCAACATCCTCCAGAGGCCACAGGAGGACATTCCCAAGCAGGCTGCTCTCAACATCCCCCTCTCCAGCAGCCCTGGATTGTCGAGAGGGAGGGACAGAGCCAAGACCCTCTGTCAGCTCCAGCTGCTGTCACAGGAGCAGAAGGAGCAGTTGGAGTGTTCTCCTCATTCCCAGCCCATCGGGTTCCTGCAGGATCCCCTCTCAGACCACCTCACAGCCATCAGGGACATTCACACGTCACAAGTCCCAATTTAATCCTTCTCCCCACAAACCACCTGCAGAGAGAAGCTGGTGCTGAGGGCCAGACCTGCCCTGAGGGACATCCTGAGGCCTGAGCTGGGATGTGGGATGGCAGCAGCTCATTCCCAGCGCTGGCCAACACCTCTGCTGAGCCACAGCACCACCAGCAGCCCTGCCCAAAATCCACACCAAGGGAACAGCCCCAGCCTTGCCAGGCACAGGGAAAAGAGGAAGAGGTGGACAGCCAGGGCCTGGAGAAGGATCCCAGATCCCCTGCATTGGCCCAGGAATCCTGCATGAGAGCTTCCAGAGATCCATTCTCCCCACTTGATGCCTCAGTCCTGAAGGTGAAATGTTGGACCTCATCACAGCCCCTGGAACACTGTTTCAACCCCCCATTTCGTAACTGAAAAAAGGGATTTTGACATTTAAATCCCACACAGAAAACGTCAGTTTGGCTCTTCAGGCAGGTGGCAGAAATGCCTGTGCTGGGACTGAGAGGGAAAGCTCAGGAAAGCTCCAGGGGGGTGCAGGGGGAGCAGGAACAGTAAGTGTCTGGCCCTTGGCAATCCTGGAGAGAGGTGACACTGCCTGTGCCAGCAGTGGGACAGCCAGGATATCCCAGGGGCCCGGGAAAAGCTGGAGATGGCTGTGGGGACAACACAGTGGGGACTTGAGGAAGGTGAAAGGAGTTTCAGACTGAGTGAGGACTTGCTCAGACAACTTATCCTGGGAACAGGTGGAGCCAGGCTGCCCCAGTGGCTGTGGTGGCACTGGCAGGGATCTCCACTGGGATAAACACGGAATGGGGGAAGAGAATCTTCTCAAGCAACACCTGAGCTGCTGCTGAGCAGAGGACACAGCTCTGCTCTG